TTGCTTCAACTCTTGTGCAAGCTGGGATGGCAAAATTTTAACTTCAGGAAAGTACCAGGAGTATTTGGTGGCACTTGACCTTGCCTGCACAGCCTTCTCATCTTTCTCCTGTAAAATAGACCTCTTTTCACTAAATGTAAAGTCTGAGTAGTACAAACCACCACCTGGTAATACCTCCCCTGAACAGCCTCTGAATAGTTGCTGAACATCAACTCCAGCAATGGGATTCAAGTGAGGCTTGGCGTCTCTCTGTAGGAGCACTGCCCGAGGGGAGAGGGCTTCAAATTCCCCAGCAAAGAGCAACTCCAGAATTCAAACCTGGCAATTACTGGCAGCATTACAATGTTTGTGGGCACAAGTTTCTGTGCCAATATATGTTTTCTTATCTGTTTTATATTTTCAATGAGTATAAACAGAACTAATTGGTGAATATAATACTTTGGAAAGTCTGAAGACCTGTTTTTAATAACCTTTAAAGTAGCTTCCCTTGAGAGGTTTTTCTTTCACCAGTTTAAATATTTAATATTGTACTTACCGTCCTTGTTTTTAGAGAAATACTTTAATGAAGCAAAATGGGTAATGACTTGCAGACCACTGGTTGTCACAGGAGCAAGACTTTGGAGATCATTAGAAGAAACAGAGAACCACTCATGCAAAAGGTCCTACTTCACAGGATTTTTAATCCTGTCCTGTAATTCCTCACTCTTCCCAGCTGTCAGAATTTCAGGAAGCCCATGGAATGTAGGATTGGTGTTTTCTGATACATAGCAGCACCAGATTTCCCAAGACTACTTTTTATTTGCAAATAAGTCCTCTTCTTTCTGCTGGCTGTACTTTTTCCATTGTATTATTGCATTATTTTCTTAGTCTTTAAACTAAACAACCAATATATATACACATACATATATATATAAATAAATATATTTGATGAATACATATATATTCTTTATTATATATAATATAGAACCACGAGGGATGACTAGCCATAGAAGATAAATTATTAATTAAAATATATTGATTTACCAGCATTAAGAAAACTGTGCAGTGAACTTTTCTAATTAACTGGTATGTGACAAAGAGAAACAAAATGCAGCTAGTTTGTGGAGTTTGTTGTTTTGGAGAAAAGGGAAAATGCTAAACAGTTGACTTCATGACTTTTGGCCTTTCATTTTTTGAACCCTGTCTAAATTACCACTACCAAATTTGCAGGGGTACATCACAAAATTAAGCACACCTTATGAAAAGCCCAGACTTCTAGAACAAAACACAACACAGCATTAGGAAAGAGAATTCAGGCATGGCATTATGGAAGCTAACAGTAAGGGGAAGATTTTCAGAGAAAGAGCATCTGCTTCATGAGAAATGCAAAAAAAAAAAAAAAAATCCCTCATAAAATACCTTATATTTGTTTAAAACAAAAATTAAGACTCTGATCCAGTTATTAGAGATACTAAATTTGACACACTGCATGTTCTTCTTCTACTGTCTCTCTCCCTTGCCTTGCCTTTGCTTCTTAGGCATTTGTTCTTACATAAGTGAAAACAAGAGAAAAGAACAGGCTTTACCTTAAACCAGAAATGTATCTAGATAAGGCTCAATCCATGCACAAGTTGAAACCATCCTGGGAATCCTGGGAAATCTGCTCACACTGTTACAACTATTATTACCCATTCAGTGGTTTCAGTCCCAGATTCAGGAAAATTTCCTCATTAGTGCCAGTCATAAGGATAAGTTTCATTGTGTCATTGGTTAAAGTTAGCTATATCTTTCCAGAACTTGCTCAGCTCAAGAAGGATATTAAAGCAAATGGTTAAGTGCTATCCCAGTTGGTGTCTTTTCTTTCTTTCTTTTTTTTCATGACAGCAGCTGTAAGTTTCCTGCCATTCAGCATATTCTTGTCAACATGATTCCTTTGTTTCTACAGTTTTCACCTCTCTCTCTAATAACTTGTATTTTAATAATGATTCACTGTTATGTAGTTACTACTACATTTTAAATAATCCCATCGTAAACCAGGTGTTATTGTTCCTGTCTAAAAATAGTAAGTCCTCTTAAATACAGCCAGCTGGTTTTGTGTGTATCAGATGAATCAAAGTAGATACTGAGCAGGAGTTCTGCTAGGTTTGAGAGGGTTTCAGGATGCCACCCCATCTTTCCAGCTTAAGTGGAAATGAGCAAAGCTCTTTCTGAGTTACGGTTTGCTAAATGAGAATAACTGTGATCATTGAAGTTGCCTAACTTAAGCCTTAACCACTGGGAGTGGGGGGGGGGGTTCTTATTTTTTACAAAGTTACAGCCATGCTTTACTACCCAAAGCACTATGTGGAAGAGTTTGTGTAGATTATCTCAGTAAAGCTCATTAGAATAGGCTTGATTTTAATGAAATTAATTTTCCCATTCTGAAAGCAAAGAATTCGAGAATACAAACATTTCAACTTCAAGGAAAAAAAAAGGCTGAGATTGAAGTTAAGTTTATCCTTCAAAATTTTGCTGAACTGAGGTGGTAGCACAAGCTTCAGGCTGCCAAAACCTGCCCAACTGTCCAGACCTGCACATTTTGGCATCTCAGATGAGCACTGCCTTCCACCTGAGGATCAAGATTTACCTAGAACTCACATTCTGAACCCCAAACTTCCCCACATAGGCAGGTCTAGGCACACAGGTATATGCAGAAGCAACTTCATTTGAGGAGTCAGGTGCTTTGCTCCTACCTAATCTTCACACGAATGAGACCCAAAGCAAGAAGGAGGAACATGAGGAAGCAGAAGACAAAGTTATTGGAGGCCATTAATTTTCCTCTTTTTCCCCTTTTGTTAGACAGTCTCCAGCTATTACTGACTTAAACATCCCTGGAATTCCTACAGCCCCTCTTCCTCCAAGAGGTCAAACTCTGACTGAGGCCAGAACTCCCCAGCACAGCAGAATGTTGTACCCTCCCCTGATCTGGCTTAACTTGGATCAACTGCACTTGCCCAGCATAGAGCAGTAGCCTGGGCATTTTTATCCAAAACCATAGCTGAAGGACCTACCGTCTACTTTGTGTACAGATGCTAGTGGTTAGATTTTTAGAGCAGCAGAAGACTTGAGGTCAAATCTCTTTTCACTTTAGTTTTGACACTGTAACTCCCATTTCACAGAAGACAATTCAGGTTGCCAGGCTACAGGAAGGAAGACTGACCACTCTTCTTTCCCAAATGAGCACATGAGTAGCAAGAACAACAGGCCAGAAGCAGAGCAAGTGAAAGGTGACATGATGGGGTAACATCATGAACGAAGATATGCAGAAACGAGAAGCATGGGTTCAGATTCTCATTTCCCTAGATAATTTGGGGTTTTTATTCACCAAGTGAAAACCTAAATGACTGCATTAACTGGAGCCGCATTAAGTGTCTGAATTAGAATATATTATTTTAAGAGAATACAACTACAAGTGGTAATCTAAGTGTAACTGTAACCACGCAATATGTGTAATTGAAATAGAGCACTGTGTTGGCAAAACATTAGACTGCTTCCTAACTCTAAGCTGCATGGATCAAGTAAGCAGCAATTGTAAAGCTTTTGCATTAAGTTACTGAAGCTCCTATCGCAGCTTGTAGAGAAGGCAGACACACTGCAGACAGCTCAGATAACTGTTTCTTGAAGCATGGCATGTTATTCCCAACACTCTTGTCTAATTAAAGACCCAAAACATTATTCTACTGAAGCTGATGGCAGTACTCACTTGACATCAAAGGGGATCAAGATTTGCCATTCTTTTATGAAGGATTATTTTTATCATATGATTAAAAACAAGCAAGGCAATTCACAATGCATCACGTGGTAGCACTTTTGTCTCTAGGTGATGTCAGACTCAGTTCTGTAGTGCCTCAGACGTCCCACCTCAAGCCAAGAGATCAGCTCAATACCGAGGTTGCAGTATCTAAACCAAGTTGCAGCGGCCTCCAGAGATACCAGCTCTGACTGTAACTCTGTCCTGCTGTGCAACTGCAAACATGCTAGAAGACTGTGGAGCTTACAAACTAAATAGATGAGTATAAAAGATCTCCATTGTGCAGATAAGAACCGAGGCAAGTTCAGGCTGGCTCACCTGAAGTCTCACAGTCGAGCTCCAGTAAAGCAAGGGAAGGACCCCCAGGTTCATCACAACAAATCCAGAGGGACTATTTGGGTGCGGATGGCACTTTGACCTTCATGGTAAAATTTTGGCTTGGATCTCTTGGCTTTATACCATCTTATGTCATGTCTAAAATAAAGAGCAAACAACAAAGTTAAAAACCTCCTCCCTCCAAATTCTGTGCCTAGTGCTTTGTTTTGTCAAAGAGCGTAACTGAAGCGAGCTTACCAGCAGGGCATAAGTTCTTTATTAGTGAAAGAACTGAGAAAAATTAGGGGTTACACCTGAGTCTTGGAAGTCTTTGCTCCCAAATAAGTGGGAAAATGGGGAAAGAGGCATAACTTTAAAATTACTATAAAATTAATAGATTACATTTCTCCAGATGAAATGCTGAACAATAACATCTCTAGCAGCTCTATGGCCAGGGACCGGGATGGAAATTGAATCAAATAAGACAAAATTTTCTTTCTCCCCAAAATATATTATAACTTGGATTATTGGCAAGGAAAAATTTTTGCACAGTTTATTTAGAGTTGCTGCTCTATTGATATGCATTACCTCAGTCGCAGTATTTTAAGATAACTCTAAATGAAAGGTCTTGTGTGAAACCAAACTCTGGACTGTATTTTGTATTTTAATGAGGATTCTTTCACAAAATACTCCATTGTGGCTAATGAGATATTAACAACGAATGTGCTAGAAAGGACAGATGGGAAGATAGTCAACTGTCTAAATCAGAAGATTTTCAAAGTGCAGTAAACAAGTTATTAAGCCCACTTCTCTGGCTTAATGCCAACCTATACTGTAGGGAATCGGTCAAAGAGTGGATCATGAAAAGCTTTTTGGGAGCAGCTAAATTCTACAGCTGTGGTCTTTGTTTTTCTAGTACTTTGCAAGAACAGAAGGGGGAATTACGAAAGCGTCTATCATACACTACCCATAAGCTGGAAATGCTTGAAACGGAATTTGATTCTACACGTCAGTATCTTGAAATAGAATTGAGACGTGCTCAGGAGGAACTTGAAAAAGTAACTGAAAAACTGAGAAGGTTAGTAACTAACTTTTTGAAATAAACAGAGTTATTAGGAATTTACAAGTGGCTGTGTTAAAGACATATATAAGGAAAAATGTAAGCACATAGTCTCAAACATACATCATTTATTATTTATTGTTTACACACTGTGTTTTCACATTGAATATATATGACATACAACATGAAGTTATTTACATGTGATATGTAAGATGTGTCTGTATTGAAAGTAAACATGCAAATAGAAATATATGTACATAAGTACATATATGACATCATTTATGTGTAAACAGGTTAGTGCCATGCTGTGTTACACACGCAAAAGTTATAAACATACTACATATATATAGTGATACTGCATATATACAGACAGATTTTTTTAATGCATTTGGCTGCATATTTTCTGTTATTACTCTCCATTGCAGTGAGACAAGGGAACACAACTTGGCCCTCCATCACTCAAAGCTGAGACTATATTTAATGCAAATAGTATTATGACATTTCACATTATGCTATAGCAAATCATTTGTTTTTTAGTCCCAAACAGAATGGAATGATACTGAAAACCTATTATTTAAAATTGCTGAAGCTGTGGTACAGTGCTATTGCAAATCAGGGGCCCAGCTAATGTTAATGACAAATTACAATAAGCATGCACTCCTGACATTCCTGGCACTGATTAAAATGGTCTGTAATCTAGCTTTACATTTATTAGTGATTCTTAATATCCATTTTTTCCATTTGTTTGCAAAACTTCTGAACCTACAACTATCCATTTATGCAGGAATGTATTTACATGTCTTCTTAGGACTTTCCTAAACTGATGTAGAGAATTGAACTGTTTGATTTAATTTACTGGATGAGTCAAAATGAAATTCAGAATGAATCATTCCAGGGCTATACCCAAAGAAATATTTTTCATTCTTTGCAGAAGGCAAAAACCAAACCAAAGCAAAGCCAGAAACCACCAACAAGCTGAGTCAACCACACCATTTTATGCAAATTTTAAACAGAAAGAGGCTGTAAGACCTCAAATTAGGAAACATCCTACTGTGGTCTTATAACTTAAATGCTTCCCTAACTTGGGAGGTGTCTTAAAACAAGGCCCAAAGTAAGTAGGTGTTATGATAATCTTGAAATCCACACACGTCTATCAAAAGCAGTCTGAAGATTCTCCATATTGTTTTCTTGCCAACAATATTTTTCCTATCACTTCACTTAGGACAGACTTATTGAAAGTAACTTAGGTCTTGAAGTAGTTTTATTCCAATATATTTCAGCTTTAATGACAGGGAACACTGGTATTCTTTTCTCCTGAAACATTATTTCAGGGACAGCTGCTATAAATCCCGTGTCATCTTTAGCAGAGGGGCTGACCTAGTCAGTAGGAAGCCTCTTACCAACTTCATTGGGCACTGATGAGTTAAGCACCCGTGAAAACTTAGGCCAGAAAGTCTGGGTTTTGCTCAGGGCAAAATCTAGCACTCTTACCAAACACCTGATTAGTAGAACTGACTTTCCAATATTCTAATGGAACTTTGTACCATATTATGAAGAAAACTTATATTAAAAATTATGTTTCAGGCAGATGATTACTCCCCTGAAGACATATCATATTGGAAGCACAAAATATTTTATGAGGTGAGCTTTAAAAATGTTTCTATTGAGAATAGCAAGGCGTACCGCAAATTGAACAACTAGATTTCTCAACCTGGAGAAAGATAATGTCTGAAACAAAACTGTCATCCAAAAGCGTGTCAGCAACATGTCACAGAGGAAAATCAGAGTGAGAAAAACAAGGAACTAGAATTAGCTTTGGTAATGTATCTCTCGCTCTGTTCACTGCACAGGAGAGAAATTCAACCCCCCTAATAAATAAGCCCCGTGTAACAAGATCCCATTTGCGTACTAGAGAACATTTCTGTTATTAAAATTCCATTACTGTTAAGTGCAGCATTTTTCTGACAGGCTGAATGGCCACCCTTTTCTACTCCTTTCTGAAAGCCTTTATTGTCTTAATTTATCCAGAATTACCTGTGTTGCTGCTAGGCCTCCCCTCTCTTACCCAAGCAGAGAGGTCATTTACTTGATGGTCAAGTTTTCAACCCCTCTAGAAACATTTAGAGGTGGCTTTCTTCTTTGGGCCCGGTGGGAGCAAGATCAGGGCAGTGTTGAGTGGGTTTGAAAATATTAACTGTAAAGCATAGGTTTGGCTTTGAAAAGTGACTGAAAAGAGAATGGGGATTTCATATACCTCACAGTGATCCCCTATCTGACATGATTGGCACAGATTTTTTAAGTTAAAATTTGAAAAATATTCAAATACCAATCTTGGAAACAAAACTGATCTCCAAAGGTCACATTGGGTTTCCTGCTTTAGACCCTACCCTGGATAACAACTTGGCGAGGTCGCCATCCTAGCTTTTAACAGAGAGTAGAGTTATTTTAAGACCCGAGAAATTAACCCATACAAGCATATATTTAGCACTGAGATTAGCCCCCCCACATAACTGTTTGACCAAAAGCAAGACATTTCATGGACTGAAGGGGTGTTCTGAACAGGAATCCTGTAGGTGTATTGGCAGTTTGCAATAAATGGGGGAACAACTTTTGTTTTCATAAGGAAGTCAGTGTAACTTGTGATAACAGAGAGGGAAAAGATTTCTTGAACAAGAAGTTACTATTTTAACAGTCACCCTTCAGAGCTACACTGCACTCTGGGTGAAATTCTCTACTTTAGAGAAAGTCAACCCAAGCCTGTGTTTTACTTTAGCTATATTTCATGGCCTTAAGAGGGCTAGAGACCGAGTGGAAGCAGAGAAACAGAGGCTTCTACGGATTTCCTCTTCAGTGGTGATCTGCAGGCTTGGAGAAGAGTGTGTTTGTTGTCTGCTGGGTTAGAGCACAGATCTGTAGTGTCCACTTTGGTCAGAATACTTTTCATGTGGCCCTAATTAGTTGAGAATCTAAATGTGCATTTGATGTATGCACATATATGCACGTGGAGGCACATGGGTATCACCCGATAATATGAACAGCAAAAAAAGCTATAGAAAATGGTAATGAGTTATCGATTCACAGGAGTTTATTCTTAAAACAGCTTCACAGGGTAGTGAAGCTGACCTATTCTTCACTTTACTTATAAAGAATCCAGATTTACAACATTAAAATTTTTCATACTTCATGAGGTTCAGGCTATCTGGGTGTATTTTTTCTGCAAACAGGGTTAAGTTGCCATTTGCTCATCTGATCATTTCAAATTGGAATAATTTTCCCTGTTCTTCCTTTTTTTTTTTACAGATTAGAGATTGGTTTGATTACCCTGTTCCTCTTTTATCCCCTTAACACTTTCTTCCATGTATTTCTGGGTCCATTTCTCTCCTTGCCACCCACATTTGCTGACACTTCTTTTGGCACAGTGGATTTCCAATTTGGGTTTTATGTGTATATGTGCATGTGTATGTGCTTGTGTATGTGTGCACGTGTTTGTGCTTATTTTGACTACCTTTGCATAATGTTCTCAATAGAAACACTTTTTGAAGCTCAGCTTTCTACTTACTGTGGATTTTTCGTTTAGGTTGGATTTGATTTTACTGGGAAGTGGATATTTTTTTCAGTGCAAAATGAATGTGTTAGAGAACTTGGGGTTGTGGGCTACTTCCACCTAGACATACAACAGAGGAAAATTTGATGGCTGAAGACAAGTTAGAAGCAGAAAAGCAGATTGTAATAAGTTTGTGCAAAACCCCTCTACCATTTACGGCATAGTAGTGTTGCCAGCCAAGAACAATTATATTAATGGTAACCAATATTCCAGTCATCCATACCAAGAGAAAAGCAGTGTCAACAGAAGCTGAGGAGCAAACCCAGTAATGCATTGCCACCATCATAAGCCACATATCCAAGTAACAATTACTGCTGGTAATTCATTATCTTAAAGATATGGAAGGGGAACCTTCAGTGTCTCCCTTGAGCTCTCCACATAGGTGTATACTACAAAACAGATCGGGATACAGAGAGGCCTGAGCTAGAAAATTCCTGAACCAATAATTTTTTCCCCTTTTCTTTCAGGAATTTATGCAGATGGTTTTGAACTCATGCAAACTTTTAGGAGGTTGCAGGTGTTAAAAATTTACATCGGTTTTACACCATATCCAGTTAAGCTACAAGCTGCCTAGGTGCAAAGCATGTTTAACCTCTTCTATTTTGCCTACTAGAGAAAAACTGCAGACCATGACAAACAAGATACTGGAGCACTTCTGGTCTCAGCCAGCAGGCCGTATCTTATTTTTGTAAATCCTTGTTCCCTGCACCACGGCACGCAGCCTTACCAGCAGAACATAACTATGTTAGTGCTGAGTAGCTGTTTGCAGGCAACGCCAGTTTAAGCCTCCTTGCTTCCACTGGTTTAGCAAGATCATCTCTGCCTTCTCCTTTACCATAAAAAACTGGGTAAAGGGTACACTAAGATTTCTCTCTGTTGTGTTGACTTTGACTGAATAGCTGTGAAAAATCCCAAGTGTACCTAGAGCTGCACAAATAAATGTCTATACAGAGGCTTAGTAGCAAATGCTGCATCTAACAGGAACATGGACAATGCAGAGATCTGTAAACTTCAGTCAATCTTTTAAGTCACCTGGACATTTACACAATGGCACTGTGAGAACTGGTGAGTAATGACCAAGCCGTAGGTTAGTACAAGTCTCACAGATTTTCAGCCCATTTTGGTCACCACCTTAGCAAACGCTCTTTACCGCAGATCCTCCTTACAGGGAGGAAATCTCTGCTCAGCAGCTCTGTAAAACATACAGCTGAAACTTCCAGCAGGCTCGAAACATGGGTTTGAAATGGCTGTCCTGAGTCTGGGCTGATCCACGGTACCCCAGGGGGTTTCATCCGCTGGGGATGTCACTATTTATGCCCACAGAGCAGCTGTCCTCAGCACAGAACTCCCCTCCCAGGTCCATGCAGCAGATGTTATGGTACTACTGGGAGCCCCAGCGGGAGATCTGCAAGCCTCGTGAGGGGCACCATGAGCTGCTGGCCTGCCCCTGAACAGAGAATTTTGACCATTTAACTGGAAAGAATTTATCCATGGCAACAAAAGCAGGGAGAGACCTGAACCATTATGTTGCTTTACTGCCAGGAACGGGCAGGCTGGACCCCTCAATTTGCAACCATGCAGGTCTTAGTTCTGATTTCAACAGCCACTCCTCACTATATGATAAGCCAAAGAGACTTCTTTAATCCCAGTCCCTTCCTGATCACCATGGAAAGTACACCCAGATCCAGGCTTCTCAGAGGAAGGGGCTTTCTGTGAATGGATGTGTCCTACATCTGAGTTCACTCGTACAGTGAACACACTCGCCCATTACCTAAAATCAACTCACCACTGAAAATACTTTGGCATATTGATGGGAGATTCTCAGTACAAACGTATTCAGACACACTTTTCACAGCTGAGCTTCTAACATTTGCTTTACATTTGTTATAAATCCTGCTGAGGTGATAATTACAAACAAGAACAAGGAGCTACCCTCTGTACCTTCTGTGGAAAGACAGGCACAACTCCTGATGTTTTTCCCACAGGCTGCACAGCTTGACCATTACAATACCAAGGTTACCACCTAAGAAACCTAAAGATGTACAGACTGAAACTCTTCTTTGGTGTATAGCTCTGGAATAAGCAGGGAAGTCTCATTCTGTGAGTCCATTCAATCCCTCAGTGCTGATAAAAATAAGTACCCACCTTTTCCAGGCTAAGCTATCTAAATCTATTTCCTGAAGAAAGGGGATGTGTTTAGCTCTTGAGAATAGGCAATTCCTTGAACTTCTGTCAAAAGAAGGAATATTCTCTTCTAAGTCATGTGGTGATGCCCGCGTGTTGCTTTTGCTACAGTCATTATGTTTCTGCTGCAATTCTCCTTATTAAGAGAGCTCCATAAATCTTTTTCTGTACTTTCTAAGCATACAGCTCAAGCTTCCTCTCTAACATATCATTCCTGAGCATGATGTAAAGCTACAACCTCGCTGTGCAAGTTCCCGTGCTGCGATGCATGTCTGCACACAAGTGCTGGACAGCAAACGTATTTAACATATTTTCACTTCCTGATGGAATTTGCTGCTAAATATAGTAAGCAAACATGACAAAGAAGCTTTGCTTAGGAATCAGGTGGTAATTACATTTCAAAGGCAACCACTGACTGGCAACAGGAGTGATAAGAAAACAGGTTTCAAGTAGTGCAAGCCAAGGTTTTTTACTGATGTGAAAATTACAGGTAAAAACCAACACAAAACCCAATGCATTCAATTACATGATATCATCTTTGTTTTAGGATACAAAACAATTACCTAGCCTTACAAAGAATTAATCAGGATCTGGAGGATAAACTTTATAGAATGGTAAGTTATCATAAGTGAACTTTTTTTTTTAGTATTAAATGTGTTTTAATGGTTCTTAAGTCATAGGACAAACGTATATGTAACTGTCACAAAAAAAATCCTCATGCTTTAAATGCAGTATCCTTAAAAAAGATATATGACTTTATCAGTATCATGATCTGGAGCTCAAGCTGTGTATGACAGCATAACTCCATCAATTTAAATGGGGATTGCATTGGCTGATGAACTGGCTGAGTAAATTATACCTTTAAAATAATTCTGGTTAATTTAGTTAATAACTTCATGGGTTTTAAATATTTATGTTTTCATTAAGTAAAAAATTTAAATAAGGTAATCCGAGGTTTTCTCATGCTTCTTCGATACTTTCACTCAGCTTTTATTAAGTGATTTAATAGAGCTTGGATGGTCTGACTTTTATATGCTGTCATAACTATCAATCTCAGTGTATTAATTTCTGATCTGCGTGTGTCTGCAACTGCAATGTCAATGCCACTGTCACAGGCCAATTAGTGTCTGAGCAAGGAAATCACTGCACCATTTATGGGCCCCACATCTAGGACTAATATTTCAGGACACAGGACCGTTCATTCAAAATAGTTCGATGATAGAAAGAAATGGCAATGCCTTTAGCACCCTGGCTCATTGCTAATGCTGCTGGCACATCATACTTACTGTTAGGAGAAAAATGACAGAGAAATGTGAGGGTAATACTTAAAGAAGAAAGAACAACAGTTTTGAACTTCCAAAGAACTTTAAGGTCATGAGCAGAGCCTGAGCTGCTTCCTCCTCTCCCGGCTCAGTACAGTCACTCGCTCCCTGCTCCCCTTCCCACCCGGCATGGCCCTGGCAAGCACAGTGCACACACATAAATGCACAGTTTGTAGGTCTGGGCAGAGTCCTGGCATACAGCTATAAGGAAGCTGGGGTAAGCCTGGATTTTACACAGATCTCTTGTAACATTTGCAAGGGTGGGCAGAAAGAAAGACTCCAGAAAATCCATGCTTTTTTATCAGGTATTTCAGATCAAAGCAAAGAATTTTTAAACTGATGTTTCAGCATCCACTTCAAACCCTAAGCAATGATTGCAGAGCACAGCACAGAAAGAGGGAAGACTGGTTCCACGGAGCACTGTGCCTTTCTTTATCCCACTAATACGACAGTTATTGAAGGCAGCTTTAGAGGCTTGAAGAAGCTCAGCCAGGCCCTGTGCACCACTTAACTCCAGACTGCTTTGCCTTCTGAAACACTGAAACTGAAGACACAAACCAAAACCAAACAAATGTCAAATGGAAACTCTATGAAAAACAAAAAGATGAGGAAAATAGTACCATGTTTGATTTAGATAAGCCTAGCCATTTGGTTTTCAGGGCACTCCAAAAACCCTCAATACTTCAGAGAAAGTTGGATTAAATAACAGCTAGTCTGGTTAATCAACATCTTACGGTGGACTGGGCTCTTGAATACCTTTCTTTCCCTTTCCTGCTTTGGAGGAACAGCTGTATTTTTATTTTTTTTTGGTCTAATTTAGCCAGTTTGTCATTCCAAAATCAAAACCTTTTGATTTCTCTACCTTTATACAAATCCAAATATATAAAACATGTTTACTTTCTCCCTTTCCCCTGCCCCATCCCTCTATAGACACACACCTGTATGTATACATGCACACATATACACTCAAGTTCTTAACCCAAGTTCTGAAAATTTAAAGTGTCCAAATGCAACAAGTAGGGAAAAGAAGACCCCCAGGGCAGTGGTCCCTTGCTCGCCCTGCCCATGGGTGACCTGGGATGCTCCCAGGAGACCCCTTTCTCCCTGCCCTTACAGGTGACCCACAGCTCCCCCTCTCCCAGTGACTGGCCCCAGCTCGTCACCACTAATCTATGAATCCAACTTGGCTTCCCTCTTCTAATGCTTTTGGGTATCCTGAATGTTAAAACCTTTCTTGCCTGCTATTGGTATAAGGGATGTAAAAAATAATCATTAATTCATCAGCAGTCACAGAAAAGAAGCTGAAGTAGCAGTTATCTTCTAGGCTCTGCTTCCTTTTGAGTGCTAATCTATAAAATATTTAAAAATATTTGAAAGCACACTTCTGATCACAGCAAATGGTATCCAACTGAAACGACTACCACATCAGAACTCAAAATAAAAATGTAAAGTATAAACCACAGCGTCTGTGTTGGCTAAAAAATGCAATCCTGAAATCAGTGGAGAGTTTGCTGTATTAAACTGGGCAAGGCTAAACACATGACCCTGTAGAGACATATGTAGCACAGAACTAAAATTTGTCTGTCACTATGCATAAAACTCCTGTTCTTACCGCAGTCGGGGTCTTTAACTGGAGAAGATTTGTTTGGTCTTGTAAGCACCAGTGAAGCAGGGGAATATACAGGCTGTCTTCTTAAATAATGTAGCTTTATAATCTTTTTTTCCATTAAAATGCGGGAAAAGACTAAGCGGAGTCCTTAAATTTTGCACTGCGATTCCATCACAGGGCTGTTCAACTGAAGAACTTCTTGTAATATCTAGTTCCAGTTGTCTTCACTTTCCCTGGCACTGGTCTGTGTTTCCCAAGGATGCTCTGCCATGGTTCTGCTGCTCCCAAACAGCAGTTATAAGTAGATAATGCACGTCATCCCAACCACATGTGAACAAATCCTTTATATGATCTCAATCCAACTGTATCCCACATGCAATCCTCACTGGAATTAAGCAATGTATTTTAAAAAGCTTCTGAATTTTTAAGGCTTTCAGTTGCAGCCAGTTCTGTAATTTTACCTTTAAAGCCATAAACCAGATTTTTAATGGTGTCTACATTTGGGAATAACTGTTAGATACCTAATAATAGCTGCTTAATAAGCCTAACCACTAATGAAAATCACACCCATTTCTCCCCTCCCATCTGCATTTTTAATGTTTTTGAAAAACCTGATCTCAGAAATCCAGCTGCAAAGATCTCACAAGGCCATACTCTCCAGAAACACCCTAAAATACGTCTTTTGTAACCAGAAAGTAAGAGTTCGACAGACAGACTGCTCAATGGTATAAGCTCACTTCTCATGCAGTCCTTCAGGAGGCCAGAATGGAAACCTCTGCTCTGTCTAAATGCATGCTATCTGCACCTAATACAAAAATACACAGGAACCATTGGAGGTGGACAAGGAAGGTGACAGCTCTGTGGGAAGGAATGGAGCCCTCTGACGATGAGGGGAACCAGCAGATAAATCAATGCACCCACTTTGTAAACCCGTACTCCCACATGCCCCTTGGTCTGCTGACCCATCTCTCTCAAGACTGCTGCCAAACCAAAACCTGTAGTTCTTCTAAGTGTCATTCCCCAGTCCTGTTGGGTTGGGTTGCTGTTCTTAAGGAGGGAAGTTGCTTTCTTCTCTCTCAGTACTGGTTCAGGACCTTTCAGCAGCATTAGCAATACTGAATCCTGTCAGACATCAGGGACAAGACTGGACTCCTATGCTCTGCGATGTAGAAGATGCTGAACACCAGCTCCACCAGCCCTGCCAGGCTCTCCGGCACAGCTTTGATTCCCACCTCTGCAAAGCCAGCATCATCCCTCTGCACACAGTGCATTATATGTTTTATCATCTGTCAAGATGAAAACGGTTACATCACATTAAGGACTGATTTTTCATTTACATTAAGGCAGGTTGGGGGGTTGTGACTCAGCCATAAAGTTGGAAGAAATTACTGTATAAACCAGCAGTAAAGAGGGATTTGTGTAAAGGATGGTCAGGTCTGAGATGCTGCACTACATGAGCACTGCACTGATTTTTACCCTGTTTCTTCCTCTGCCTATGAGCTAGAGGAGGACTAAGCGGTCCAGCAAATACTTTACGGTTTATGTTATTAAGAGTTATTTATCCAGCTCCTGAATACCTGCAACCTTCCAGTCTGCTGGCAATAATATATACCCAAGCATCTCCAGGTGGAGAAACCCAAAGATGAACTAAACATGAGCTGAGCAATTTTAAGTGGTGCTCTGAGATTTTGTGTCAGGGGCATGTTATTTTGAAGGAAGCATCTTGCTGGGTGTCTGGGCCAGGAAGGTAAAGAATATGGGAAGTGGTGAGGAATTTAATGAACAATTTCAGTGAGACATTAAAAGTATCTACCTACCAGGGCAAGCCCAGCATTTTGGCTTTGGAATTCAAACCAATCACTAGACTGCACCTGAATCTCGCATGACAGCTACCAGCCACCCCCCAATACGGTTTAAATCATAAGTGAAAGATGAAGGCAATGGAGAAAAAGCCTATTTCTGACACAAACCTAAGGAAAGCAGAAGCCCAGCACATTTAGGTTCTTGCATGGAGGATGACGACTTTGACAGTGACTTTGAACGGAGTGATTTAAAGTACATCTTTTTCATTTTCTTTCCTTTATGAAGAACAACTTGCTTCCCCACACACACACACTGTATGTCCCATGAAAATCAAATAGAGATGACCTAAATATATTTAAAAGGATTTGCATCCCAAAGACAAGAAAAGTTTAGTCAGCTCAACCTGACAGGCTCATTTGCTCACATTCAGTGAAGACAGCTGTGAATTTCAAGAGAATTTATACTGGTGGGTTAGTTAAGACAGAAGCCAGAGAAGGTCCATGTTTTGTGGACTAAAACAACTGCAAAACAACATTTCTAAGGAAGGAAATGACCATAAATGCTACAGAAACAAGTCATTTATAAAAATAGCAGTTGAAAAAATGCATTTCTAAGAGGCCTTTAGGTTTCATCTTTTTATGCTTACAGGCATTTTGTACTAAAGATTTCCATCTCTCACTAACTTTTTTCACACTCTTTTCCCAGGTAAAAAAATATTGTCAAATAGGCAATGAGACCAGCCTTTTAAACCCACAGACATTAACACACGGGCTCAGACTGAGTAGATCCATCTGTTTTGCAGTGAAATAAACTAATCCTCCTGGGTGAGTTGGGAGCACAACTCCGTATCACACAAGGGCAGAATTGCATACAGGCCTTC